AACTTCTGTTTTTGGTAACTTCTTCTTATCTGTGCTGTGATGCAGAACAAAACGTATTATAATGCTTTATTTGTGCTCTTTGCTTTTGTGTGTGTGTGTTTCAACAGGCGGCCAAAATGACAAACTATGCCAAGTATCAGCGCTTGTGTGACTTCCTCTTCATCGTCTTTAGCGTGGCATTCTTTATCACACGGCTTGTTATATATCCAATATGGTAAGTACACCAGCAGTGTCAGAATGAATAGCTATAGATGGTTATAGATTTTAGCTTTTTTCTTTTCATCTACCTGTTGTGCATTGGGAAGGTTATGTTAAACAGCTCTTAAATTTAAAAAACAAAGAAGAAGAAGAAGAGCATAATCTGTTGTCACCTGATTGGCTGTGACATATCTAACAGCTGTCACTCACACTGGTCAGAAACACGCAGCCTGCACTTAATCTGCAGTGCTTAAATGTATTGCTGCTGACCTAAGAATAAAGAAAAAAATGCCATGTGCTCCTGTTTAAATAAAATTATAATCTGAAACAGGTAGCAGCACTGTTCTAGATCAGATGAATCCTTTTTCAGGATGTCTTAAAGATTCACTGGCTTTACCTCTGGCCCAGAACACTGAGATCAGTGCTGGTGTTTACATTTAGGGACATGTTTGGATGCCTGCTATTCCTCGGCAGAGACCTGGATGTTGCAGCTCAACTTCCAGAAAGAGAGACAGTCCTACAGACAATAGGGAACCTATCACTGGCAAAAGTAACCTGAGCAGCTATATTCAGTGTCTTGGTGTGGATGAGTGATAAAGCTAGTGTTGCCGCTGCAGCTACCTGGGCTGAAATCTATACCTGTGCTGGGGAGGTGGGTCTGTTGACAACCTGTTGTCACTCAAGTGGATGTAAAGGAAGACATGACCTCACAGACCACTCAAGTGACATTACCGTAGATCTGTGTTACTCGCTTGCATCGCTGCCTTTGGCTTGCAGGTCGGGATTCCACTCTGTATGTTAAAGTAAGACTTGTTTAAAGAGTGCTGCTTAAGCTTATTTTCAGGTCTATTTCTGGGACTATAACATAGCCAGTCTTCACACATACGCCTGTTTATCTCCTCCTTCAAACAGGGTCCTGAACTCTACTATGTTTGAGAGCTGGGCCATAGTCGGGCCGTATCCGTCCTGGTGGGTCTTCAACGTTTTACTTCTGGTCCTCCAAGTGCTGCATATCATCTGGTCCTACCTCATAGCCCGTATAGCCATCAAAGCCATCCTGCGAGGCAAGGTGGGTCACAAGGAGAGTTCAGCTGTCAGGAACTGTTTATTTTGACTAAAGAAAATCTCCAATACAAGCTATTATAATGACAAGATTCACTCATTCACATTCATGGACACTTTATTGTGTACAATTTGTTAGTACCACCCTTTGCCTTCAGAACTGTCTTAATTCTTCATGGCACAGATTCAACAAGGTGCTGAAAACATTTCTCAGAGATTTTGGTTCATGATAGCATGTCAATATTCCACAATGTTCCACCCCATCCAAAAGGTGCTCTACTGAATTGAGATCCTGGCGACTGTGAAGGTTGTTTGAGTGCAGTGAATTCAATTTTATATTCAAGAAACTGATTTCAGATTACTTGGGTTTTGGGATGCGGTGCGCTGTCCTGCTGGATCACATGATGCTACACTGTAGTCATAAAGAGATGGACACGGTGAGCAACAATACTCAGGTGGTCTGTTGCTTTAAATGCTCAGTTAGTAATAAGGAGTTCAAAGTGTCATTACACAAGCACCATTGTACCATTGATACAGAGCGGGATGGAATAATGCTTTGGTGGTGTGTTCAGGGATGCTCTTCTGGATACATTGGTTCTAACTAGTGGTTATGTGAGTTTTTGTACTCTGTCTATTCTCTTATGTCCTCTGACATCAACAGTGAAGTTTTGCCCACTCACTGGATATTTTCTCTTTCTGAATATTCACTGCAAACCCTATAGATTGTTATCTGGGTAAATCCAAGTAGATCGTCAGTTGCTGTAACAACACTGGCACGTTCAAAGTCATTTAAATAATCTTTTTTTTTTTTTTTTAATTCTAATGCTCAGTTTGAGCTTCAGCAAGTTGACTTGACCATGTGTACGTGCTGCCATATGATTGGCCGATTAGGTGTTTGCCTTAACAAACAGTTAATGTATGTTTTTATATTGCTCATGCCTTCTGAATGTGTACTTTGCACTATTCCCTGACATTTTCATTTAATTAAAAGCAGGCCGGTCGATAATGAAAATCCTCAAATTGGGCTTTGAATGCAACACGTCAAACCCTTCCTGCACAAGAGGAACACAAAGTGTATTTGTCACCTGGTAGAATGATTTTTGTAATGTGGTATGAACACCTGCTAGTTTCACTTCACTACAGTTGACACACCCTGGGCTGGAAGTTTTGTATTTTTATTACATTTGTGTTTGGTATGTTAGCACACCAAACAGAATGTTTGTCCAAGATGACACCACGGCTATTTTTGGTAACGCCTTTGCTGCCTCTTGTCTTTTTCCCCTCCATCCCTGACTGTGTCTCATTCTCTCTGCAGACGCAGTTTGCTTCCTCTCCCTCTGGAATGAGAGAGGGAGATCCTGTTTTTCTGTCTATCTTTGTCCAATGAGCCCTCCTCCGCTGCTCTCTTGCTTCTCTGCGTCTGCTCTGTCTGCTTGACAACTTCTCTGTGTTTGGCTGTAAGTTTCTGTTCACTCCCTCTGCCGTGATTTCTTTCACAAATCATCCGTCCTATTCGTTTGCATAGAGACTCATAGTAGCTGCAGTAGATTTTGATTAGACAGTCGTTGTACTGAATTTGAAGCCAGCAGTAAGAGGAGAGTAAATGATAAGTAATGTGGTAAAAGTGTTATGAATGTCAGGTATGTCCCACTGTTTCTCATTAGTGAGGACTGTGTCGAAATTGTCCCACAGCACCACCTTGTGGCAAATGTTGTGAGTATAATCCAGTTGTTACACTAACTGCGGTTTCCATTAATATGAAGCATCTTCTCGTAACGCTTTAATTTGTTGTTTATTACTCGCTGTGAGTCAAAGCGTGAGGCCACGTTCCAAGACCCTGTCCCTACGCCCGCTCACACCATTTGCACATTTATGTGAAAAGTTCCTTTAATTATTTCTTCTTTCAAACAATCTGTAAGTGGAAGTGGGTAGTAAAGCCCTCCACCACCATGTTTGCATTGATGCAAGTTCACTAACCTCATTTGTCAAAGGTGCAGCATCTTGTTTTGCTTCCGATATGGTGGAAACGTCAGAGTAATAAACAAGATGAGCTTTTGTGGAAGTGTTGTGCACTTGTTGGCCAACAAGACTTTGGACGTGTTTCTGAAAAAGTGCTTTGAAATACATGCATGTTTATTTTTTCTGTAAATGTTAATAAAAAGGAAGAGCTTTTTAGAAATATTGTAAATATATGAATGTAAGTGAAATAGAAGAGACACTTAGTAGTAATATAAATCATCCGAAATGCTGATTAGAAGTTCCTGTTTCCATCAGAAATGGGCGAAGACAAGTTTTCCGCTGTGTTTATCTCCTACCTGGTGTGAAAATGGCTTGCTTACGTCTGATGGTGATGTTTTAATATCAGACAACGATAACCCAGACAAACACAAAATGCACTTTTGCGAATGATCATTTCATTCAAAAAATAGCTTTCATCCAAACCTACCTGACCCCAAGTGAAAAAGAAATTAAAAATGACAAAGACAAGAAAGCTAAAATTCACCCAAAGCAATGTGAAACTCATTACCAGTTATCACAAATGCTTGATTGGTTTTTCCGCTCTTCTGAGTAAGAACTACATTTATTAGGTTTACGGTGTGATTACTTTTTCACATATTGCCATGATGGCTTGGTTAGCATTATAATTGAAAAACTGCAGTGTCCTTGTTAATAAGATGCTAAAGCCATCACCTTCAGAAATTACACAGAATGGCCTACTTTCAGTCTGCTGCGGTGTTTGTAATTAATTTTTTAACATTAACATCTTACTCTGCGTCTCCTAGGTGGGCAATGATGTCCGCAGCGACATAGAGAGCAGCTCTGAAGATGAGTCAGCCTCGCCAACACAAGGCTTCAAGACCTCCCCTTATCCCTGTAAGGGAGAAAATGGCACTAATGGCCACTGTGCTTCTGCCAAAGCCCGAGCTCAGAACCACAACAGCTGGTGACGCGGAGCCTGAAGCCCCCTGCCGTTCATCCCCTCGCAGTGTCTTAGAGAGCTTTGTTTGTCTTCTGACATTCCTCTGACGCGCAAAGTTCACTCCCACATTCTCTCTCTCTCTCTCTCTCACACACTCACACACACTGACAGTGAGTGCACACAGATTCATGTGTTGGTGAACTGATGATAGACACTGGGTCGTGTGATGAGGCGACACGTAAAAGCTGCAATGAAGTCTGTTGAAGCGAGTGATTTGCATAGCCTTATTTTTACAAATGTTGGGATTTATCCTGTGCTTGAAGATATTCTTTGGATTCAAAGTTCTCTCCCAGTTTTATTGGTCAGATGAACTTGTTTGGTTATTTCTAAGGGTTAATTCACAACAGACAGCACAGGGCACAGGTGTGTCACAGCAGACGTAGCAACATTAATGTAATATTACAGCTGTGGTTTTATCAGCTTTTAAAAGCACGACACCGGCTGTGAGAGACAGTGTGGCTGAACATATCTGCCCTTTGCAGTTCATTGTGAAACAACCCTTTACCGCAATGTTGTGAGAGATTTGTTTTATTGTTTTTGGGTTTTTTTGTTTTGTTTTTTTTACTTCCGAGACCAAAACGTTGATGAAATTGTTGGATATCACTGCCTGTAAAGAATTCCAGATATGAGGATAATAATAAAGGTCTGCAACTCCTACTTTAGTACCTAAAAAATGTGTCTTTCCAAATATATTCTGTTAAGTTTTTCTGCTTGTCTCATCTTATTTGAGTCCTATTTCAATATATTACACAACACTGTGTAGCTGAATGCATTTAATGTCATATAATACAAACAATTACATCTTATTCCTGAAATATTGCAGCTTAGAATGAATTTGACAGAAGCCAGTGATGGAAATATGCTCGTGGTTAATTTTCTGGGAGCTTTATAAACAAATCCTCGTCTTTAAGGGGGCCGTGCCCTTGCTGGAATCACACAAGTGTCCTCTGAAGAATAAACATCACGATTCGCTGCTGGACAAAGACGAGGAGGAATGAGAAATGTCCACATGTGTGCAAAAAGCAGAGCTTTTGTCAGTCTTTGATGACTTCAGGATCCTGGTTCTCTGCTGCCAGCTTCAGCTGCTTCTGCCTCTCCATGTAGCGGTACCCTCGCATTGCACACAGGTAGCCCCCGTACACCGTCAGCAGCATCATCGAGGCAGAAAATGCCCGATAGCCGATGTCTGCGAGCCGCTTTCCTGTTACCATGCTGGGGATCCTGAAGGAAATCAGGAACAAGAGATTAAAATGGGTTCATAAGCTGAAAAGTAACAACACTGCAAACATCACTGGTTCTTAAATCAAGAACTTGAAGTCAGTTATTAAAGAGAATATTTGTTATCTGTTAATTTGATGAATACTCCCAACATTATCACCATCATCCACACCTTTTACTATATGTGTGCATTAAATATAATAAGTACTGAACCCGCATGTTCCTGACAAGTAGTAGACTAAAATGGAAATACTCAACTATTGAGAAGTACTTGATACTTCCCACTGTTGGACTGGACAAGCTGGAACAAGATGACTGAGATTTTATCAAACATTTGCTCCTGCTTATCACACAAACAAGCTCAGCTTTACCAATCACACCAGCAAAAACCTTAATTACAAATTAATCAAGTCTCAGGACCTCCTGGAGGCAGAGAGGCATTAAATCTTTTAGTTTTTATTCCTGTCAAGGCTTTTGTATCTTTAATATCTTATATTGGTAAACATTGGAGTCAACAGGATTTACAAAGTGCTATATAGAAAGTATATATTTTTTTAGTTTCCTGATGACTCTGCATTATAGTGCCTTTTCTCTGTTCAACATTATAATCAATCAAGTCTTTTTTGCCACTTAAAGTATTTTTACAGAAGTGTAAGCTGCCCTTTTGTTTCTACTGAAAAACACATTGTTACAGTTAATTCAACTTTTTACTTTACAAGAAACGCACTACAACATCTAACCTGTGGCAGGATTGTTCTTTCTGCCTCAAAAAGAGAGATATGTTTGATAGATTATAACAAGTAACTTCCAACAGTTTAAATACAGGCTAAATGGTTAAGATTTGTTTACATGTTCCATCTCCGAGTTCCAGATGTTAGATCCGCAGTTAAACACATGCTGCTGATTTAGGAAACACGCCCACGTTAACTGGTGATAGTCACAGTTTAACGTGACCTACTGCCTTCCCAGTAAAAGGTAATTTCATCACAATATTCTGCACAAAATAAGCAAATGTAGCTTGTTTCCTCCGCGCTGAGCTGCTGGAGCTTTTGTTCACAATCAGAGTCACTAATCTGGGTTAAAAACAAAAAACGACAAACTGGATTTCAAAAGAGGAGATGGCTACAGAGCACCTTACAAGTGAACTCGATTATTTAATAAGAATTTGGGGTGTTAGCATTTAAAATAAACAGATTTAATGACACACATTGATTGGATTTGGTAGCCGTGTAACATGCAGAATGTGGTACAGTGGAATATATAAACAAATCTAACCAGTTAACGTAAAAAACATTTAACGTGGAACACCGGAAATCACTTTCTGGCTGGACACCTGGGAGCTGTTTTCATTCCCAGACAGGACAAGTTATCTCCTCCCTGTCATTGAGCTCAAAAAAAGCTGTTGTCCAGCTCTGTGCGTGCGCATTAACAGCCGATACACGACTCGAAAAAGCTCTCGTGGTCAACACTTTTGTCTTTTCTTACCTGGAATTATAAGACTGTGCTATCCTGCGTTATCACTCTCAATGTCAGCACAGCTGCTATGCTACTTTAGCGGACTCGCTTTCGTAAGGTGCGGGTACGGGCACTCAAATGAGACATTTCTCTTGATTTGGCAAAACAGCAGCGCGCCACCTACTTACGGGGAGTGTTTGCGGCAGCACGCAGAGTAAATCTCTGAGTTTTTAGATATTTCCCCTGTAGTACTTAATCAAGACGCTACCGTTTATTTCAGAAGAACATTTTACAGTGAAGGTGCATTGTTGGACAAAAGGCAGGGCTAGTTGCTAAACTGTGAAACAAATCAAATGGCCTGGTAAAATAAATGAATAATAATAGTATTTTAATTATGAAATATTGCTACGTTAGAGAAAGATCATATAAGTAGAATTTTAATGGTCTACAAAACTAAACTGCATGTTTATTTTTTTTCAGTAAGTAAAATGTGATCAACTATTTTATACGGAAGCGTAGAGCTTCCCCGTGGCCATTCATACAAAACCAAAGAAAAAACACATCCTGTTTTTTGTCCAGTCCGCTATAGATCCGACTGAGCTGTATATGTGTCCCTCTGTGTAAAATGAGTTTGACATCCCTGTTGTAGACGCAGAGACAGTATCAGAGGCTACCGTTACCATGGCGTCAGGCTGAACGTCAGCTTGTTGCCACCTTGGCTCGCCCCTGCCTCCTAGAACCCAGAGCCCTTCAGTAAGTAAGTTCCATTAAGCGACTGTGCTAGACTTCAACTCTGGAAACTGTTCAACACTATTCACGTAAAAACAAAACAGCGTCATTATCGATCATATGCTAGCTATATATAGCCATTTTGGTACTTTTTTTTTTATAAATGATCTTACTTACAAGGAGTTTAGTTTGATATTATTTAACTTTAAATAATTAACTAAATAAAGTTAACAGTTCGGTCAGCACTGTTTTCTACCCGGAGTCATTTAGGGGACGCACATATTACAATGGCAACCTGTTCGAAGAACAGCAAGGCTGATGCTTACGATGAAATAAACGATCCTGGCGCCGCTCCTTACGGTAACTTCATAAATTATTACAGCTTCAACCCTCCGGAGAACCGCCTGAGTCTGATTCCACCGGCTCTGCTCAGGGATTTAGGATACAGTGATGAGACCACGCTGATCGTGGACGTGGGCTGTAACTCAGGGGTAAGTCCACCTCTGTTGTTTTTTCCATGCATACATACTAATGATTTAGGCCATATCCCTAAGTGGCCCCCTTTAAATAGGCAGGACTTTTTGATATGTTCTCGATTATGCATAAATGCTCATATTTGCGTTTAGACTCATTTTTATAATCCAGACTAATAATTAAATGTAAATTTCTGTCCTCATACCACATTTGTTTTAGTTGAATGACTTATCAGAGGTTTGGATATAAGGGATCACACCCATTACGTAAGTTCTGGTGACGTTATATCTTTAAAAACCTTCCTCAGAGACACTTTAAAATAGATTTAGAGGCTGATCTTTAAGGATCACTTTAAATTGTCAGCTCTATAACAGCTGTCCTCTTTTTTTCCTTTCACCTACTGAACGGCAGGAACTGAGCATAGCTTTCTACAAACATCTGGTGCCTGAGGAACAGCCTGATAGGAGGAAAGTTCACCTCCTGGGCTTCGACTTGGATGAAACTCTAGTTCAGCGAGCGGAGGAGATAAACCCTCTGCCAAGTAGAATCACCTTCATCCCTCTCGACATCACCAAAGACACCAACCAGCTGCAGGACTACCTCAGCCTGCACGGCTGCTCTCACTTCCACTTGTGTCTGTGTCTAGCTGTGACCATGTGGGTCCATTTAAACCACGGAGACTTGGGCCTGCTGCAGCTGCTCTCTCGCCTGTCCTCCATGAGCCAGCACCTTCTGCTGGAGGCCCAGCCCTGGAAGTGTTATCGCTCTGCAGCCCGGCGGCTGAGGAAACTGGGACGCTCGGACTTTGACCACTTTAAGACCCTGAAGATCCGAGGGGATGTGGCAGATCATGCCAGGGAACACCTAGAAAGACACTGTGGCATGGAGCTAATCCAGAGCTTTGGCAGCACTGCATGGGACCGTAAGCTGCTGCTTTTCAGAAAGACGTGAGGGGCTCTGTCAGGAGTTCCCATCAGCAGGAAGGACAGCAGAAACCACAAAGACAGATTGATATTAATCAGCAATTAGTTTGTTTCTTTTAAAGAAAATTGCTGCTTCAAATCTAAAGATTTTAAAGAAGTGATAATAAATAGACTTTGTGCTCTTAAGAGTGCAAGCAAGTGTATATGTACCTGTGTGTGTGTTGGGGTGGGGGGATAATAAGTGGTAGAAATTTGTGGCAATTTACACATTACAGCTTTAATGACATCATCAGTCCAAAACACTTCTAGCTACAGCATCCTGAAATCAAGCCTGTACTATCAAATGCGCTTTTTTGTACACATTTAATATTCAGCCCAGTCTTATTTCTTCATGCCAGATGGATCATTGTGCTGGAGTCATATCCTCCCGCACGATTTTACCACCACCCTTAACGATGGCTCTATGATTTCTTCCAAATTCTGACCCTTTCTTCTAAATGTTGCAGCAGAAATCAAGACTCAGACCAGGCAATGTTTTTCTAATGTTTTGTTAGTCTGTATAAATTGTAATTTTCTGTTCTTAGCTGACAGAGGTGGCAGCCAATGTAGTCTTGTGCTGAAGTAGTCAAGGTTCGACACATTGTGCGTTCAGAGTTGCTCTTCTGCAGACCTTGGTTATTTAAGTTACTGTTGCCTATTAGCTGGAAGCATATTATCCATTCTCCTCTAGCATTAGCCTAGAGAACAGTTTACTGGATATTTTCTGACCAGTCTCTGTAAACCTTAGAGATAACTTAGAGAAAAATCCCAGTACATGAGCAGTTTCTGAAATACTATGAAAGACCATCCTGTCTGGCACTAACAACTAAGCCTCACTCAGTCACGTAAATCACCTTTCTTCTCCATTCTGATGCTCAATTTGAACTTCAACAGATCATCTTCATGTCTACATGACACAGTTACAATGTGACTGACCAAATTTATATTTGCGTGAAGAACCTGTGGATCTAAAAAAAAGTAGCCACTGAGTGTATAAGAACATCAGCTGATACTAATTGTCAGATTTTCCTTTTACTCCATATAAATCAGTATAGGCTGAGATCTAAACATCTAATATCGGATTGCTCAGTTGTTTACGTGGTTCAAACCTTTGTTGTTCATTTCCAGGAAATGTTTTAGCCATTAACTAACATTTAAATGTTGGACAACAGATTAACCTTGTATGACTGAACCACAGCAGACAATAACGGCAAAACAAAGCAACCAACACAGCATTGTAATTTTCATCATTTTAATTACGGAATACTAAAAATAACATTACATAAAATGTCTTTTTAAAAGAAACCATTGAATATTACAAAGGTTGTAAATTTTGTAAAGTTAGGATATAAAATCTTTGAACAGTGGTGCATAATTGAAAAAGAAAAATAATTCTCATAAAATGTATATATTAACTGTTCTACATTTAAAAAAAAAAAAAAAAATGAGATGGGACACAAATTGCAGACAGATGAGTGGACACCGCCATTACTGCAGTGAGCTCTCCTTTCAAAGGAAGGAGGACTTGAGATGCAAAGCTCACACACCACAATTGATTTAAGTTTTCAACTTATTTCTAAGCTAAAAAAAAAAAAAAAAAAAAAAAAAAAAAAAAAAACCAACAACAGAAAAAGAAAAGGGGGGGGGGGTTACCATATACAAGAGAGGAAGAACAGACAAGCTCGAGAGACTACACAAAGTGACTTGGTGACTGCTCCCAATATTTATAACACATCTCAAAACGGGTCAAAACCCGACTACACTGGCCTTGGTTCCATAATGTTTTTTCCACAGGTTCAAAGCTGTCCAAAATTGTGAAAAATCTCATACTTGAAATAATTCCACCGAGACAGGGAAACAACGATCAGGCATCTTTTTAGCCTACTAACACTGCCGTTCCTATTTCCTAATTTACAACCGGTCAGTCGGATCCACTGAACACCACCGTGGTCACAACTCAATATCAGGAGGTCGACCTTAAGTGAAATGGACCTTTAAACACGCGCGCACACAATCACACACGCACACATGCACACAAACACAAAGTTTGAGGGGGGAAAAAAAACATGCCAAAAAAAAAAACATCCATCAATGTGCTTGCTTTCTTCCTCTTCTCTCTGAGTTTTGCATCACCCTGTGTCATTTCATGAGCCCTTGTTATTAATGTCTGAGTTAACACCACAGGGGAAAAAAATAAAATAAATCACCAACTGAGGACATTCAGAGCCTGTTTGAACCACAGATGCTCCTCACACTGGCCAGTCATGTCCAAGCAGAGGTATTTCATCAGCCTCCTGCTCTTTGGGAGACAGTTTGTGTCACATTTTTGGTTAACAGACACGGAGCAGGGAAGCAATCAAAAGTTCATTAGGTCATTGTTATTTTATAAAAGATATGAATTTAATTGAGTTACGCTGAGTGGCAGAATCGCATTCTGTGCAGCAGTAGTGGTTTTAGTGGCCCATGAAGACCAGGTGAAAGAGAGGGGGAGAAACATGAGAAGCTAGAAGAGAACAGACAATAACTCAGAGGACATCTTAGAAGACAAAAGGATGTCTGAGAGAACAGGCATTTAAGATGAACTGAGGCGCGAGACACCAGCAGAGCTACTTGGTTTGGCTGGTCCGCTGCTCAGACTGCTGGAGATTTTTTTGTTTTGTTTTTTGTTTTCTTTCCATGAGGGATCCAGGAGCTTCTGCTTAATGTGTAAGCTAATAATGCTGTTGAGATTCAGATGAGTCCCCCTGAGTTAGTGCACACATCAGAGTCAGGCAGGCCTCGCCCGCTTGTTCGTTAAGAAATTCACAAGAAAAAAAAAAAAAAAAAAAAAGACACAAGAACAAAACCTCAATTTCATAGTCAAGCTTAGAATTAGCTTTGGAGACAGAGAGCCTGTCGTAGTTTTACAAGTCTGTGTTTGGGGACTGAGTCGATGTTAGTGTGGAGGAGACAGAGGGAAGGTTCAGGTGTAAAATACGGCAGCTTGACGCAAAGCAGTCCAGCTGACGTCTGAGTCCTGCTCATCTTATGAAAATTCACAAGTTTGCTCTCTTTTTTTTTTTTTTTTTTCTTTATTCTTCTCCTCATTGTTGTTGCTGTGAAGGTAATGTGCGCTTTGTATTGCCCAACCAGAGACAGAGCTGTGGTGTCTGAGCATGCTCATACTTTTAACGTAGCAACCTGAACATCTGCCATCGTTTCTCAAGTGGTCGTTGGTGTGAATCTGCCCAGCAGGCGAGCGGCTGGGGAATCTGGTCAGGTGCTGGTGTTGCAGTTTACAACTGACTGGGTGTCAGTCAAACAAACAGGTAGGTAAGACAGGCAGGTGGGCTGTAACAGGGCTTGGAGGGGGAGAGCCGAGGCTAGATCAGGGGGGCTGTGTCTATCAAGCCTTTGTTTGGGTCCAGACTGGCAAAGAAGCGGACGTCCCGGTCCTTGTCGGACTGCAGAGCCATCACGGTCTCTTCCAGCTCGTCAGCGCAAGCACAGCCCGGATCCTTGAAGTACGCTGGACACAAAACCCAGTTAGTGGGAAGAATCAAAAGTTATGAGCAAATGACCAGAGCTTGTGCTGAAGGGAGAGTAACTTTGACTTTAAGAAACAAAGCAACTGCAACTTCAGTGTCACAACACCGACTCACCTAAATCTCAGAGCTCAATATAGTTACCAACATAAAAACATATTTAATACACTCAAAGGGAGAAGTATGTTATGACCAAAAGCTTATGATGATAACAGAGGGGGGGGAAAAAAAAATGACACCCCTGATTCTGCCCAAAGCTCAAAAATCTACAAGTGTACCAACATCTCACGCCATGCTGTTGGTTAACTTTGTAAAACCGAATGCTGACAGCTTTACAATTATGCCCTGTACTTTTTCTTGATGAAGTATGAAAACCTTTAGATGGTCAGTTTTTTTTTTTTTATGGATTACCTTTCTCCATCACGCTCTGTCGTAGAGCCTTGGCTACCAGGACGCGGACGTTTGCCACGGGGTCTGATGAGAGGCTGAGCAGGCTGGGCAGTAGATGCTGACTGAACTGCTCCATGGGCATGCAATCCTCCTCCACTACGGCCTATGGGAAATATTTGGCAAGAGCAAACCAAATGCAGGAAGTAGTGAGTCAAAATGCACTCAGTGAGGGTGATGCAGCAACATAACGAAAGCATCTGACCACACAGAAAAGCTGACAAACAGGTTCATGTCACTGCACATCTCTTATGCGACGTGAACATGACATGAAACAACCACTGCTATTGCATGTATCGTCTGTCCATTTAAAACAATCACACACCAGGAGAAAGCTCACATTTCATCATAACAATTTAAAAACCAGATTGTGAATTGTAATGTAGTATTACATTAAACATTAACATGATTAACAATTCATAATGAGGTTTATATACGTGTGACATGTACATGCTTATGTTTTTTTTTTGTTGTTTTTCATTTGTTTACATTAAGAGACACGTTTAAGACAAATTTTCACTGCATTCAAATGGACAAAGGTTTTTATTGAAAGTAAATTAAACATTATCCAGGAACAATAACTGTTTTTTTTCCCCCAACTTGGTCAGAACAAGCCTTTTGGGGATTGAGAGGGGGGGGTAACTGTGATTGGTCTGCAATTTTCCTGTTATTTCCTGTTCATCTGATAAACTAAATGCCTGCTCTGCTTCAGTAATTTTAACTCCAATTAACAAAAGTAGTTTTAAGGGAATAATTCTATTACATAGTTTGTGATTTTTCACAAACCTCCTTGGGGATGCCCCTCCCCCAAAAAACTTTTATAAATGGCACTTCAGCTTTGTCCTAACAGGAAGTGACAAGCCGACAAGTGAATGACATTCCATGACATCCAGTGACTATGGGTCACGTAACCACAGGCGGCAGGAAATGGGTGGGACCAGAGATAAACAATTTCCAGGTGAGTGACTGAAGAGGTCACCAGTGAGCACACAGGATATCATTGATTGCCATCTGACCAGGACTAAATCTAATAGAAGGTTATCTAGGCAACCGGAGCCTGGAATATCCTTAAGTGACTGGCTGTCAGCTTCAACACTTCGTGTATACGCAGCTTGAAGGCTGTTTTACCTCAAAGCTCCAAATGGCATCTGGTTTGTCACTTTATTTATTTTATTCCATTTCCCAGCAGCAGCAGCAGCAGCATGGACAGTCACTGATGCAGTTACAGACATTTAAAGCCGAGAGAACTGGGACACTTGAGATGAGCATTACCCACCTGGCAGATAAAGGCAAAGGCCTGCCTCCCCACCCACTTGGGACAGTGGCAGAATCTAACAGTGAGCTCGTTGATGAAGTTCAGGCCAAGGTCATCAGCCCCGCAAGCATAAAGCTTCTGCAGGATCTCCACCACCTGAGAACACAAGAGTTGACGAGTGAGTCGCTGAGAAAAAAATACGTACATTTTTTTTCCCTCTGCAGTTCATCTAAAAGGAAAAGCCAATCTATATTTAGCACGATTATGAATTTGTCTCTGTTACACAAACAAGAACTTGGCGGTACAGGTTTCCCCTCAGTTAATCTGTCGACTGTACTGTGTCCTTGGAGATGAGCCAAGATGATCAAACACAGCCATCAGGACGTTACTTCATCGGTCACAGGCCACGCATGAACACTTCCATTTGAGTGATTCATTTCCTCTAAAGTTTCCAGAGTTTCTGCTGACCTCGCTATGTGTTACAAGCTGCCAAAGCTGCCCCCCACCAATCATCATTAAAATCATCCAGGGTGGAAGGTTTTTAAATACAAAAACAAAAAAAGTAAGCTTACCAGTTTGTAAGAGATCCACCTGACCTCGGAGACTTTATCAGAGCAGAGTGTGAGCGCTATCTCTCTGAGGTAATCATAAACGTCATAGTGGCTGTACAGCTCTATGATCAGGATCAGCTGTCTGCAGAGGGGAAAGGAGCAGAGTGCTTCACTCAAATACACGGTACATGCTAGTACAATCAACCAAAAAGTGAATCACAATTTAAGAGCAATGAAGTTAAATCAAACAGCAAGAGCAGAATTAAACGGTAAAACAATGTGAGCCTATCTGAACGAGTGTTAGCTTAAAGTTAAATGTGTTTCCAGCTTTTCATCCTGACAGTAGGAAGAAAAGACGACATACTCTGCCAGCTCGTATCTAAATCTCCAGTTGCGACTGTTGTCCGTCACCATGAACTCCTGCAGCTGGTACAGATATTCTCTCCTCTTGTCTGCGTGCAGCAGCTACAACAACAACAAGATGAACACAGAGCAGATCAATTAGAGAGCTAGCCTATCAATATGGCTCAGTTTTTACTGGAAACGACAAAATTCTGCCACCGAGTGTGCTAAAAATCAAAGAGCTGTAAAAACCAAGCATTTCAGAAGTGTGAATGTCAACACAGCCGAACCAAAGTTATATCTTACTTGATCCAGAAGTAAGTGAACCTGTAATCTTACCTTCAGGAAGTCATAAAGGTGTTTGAGCACGCCAATGCGTACCTCATCCAAGTCTTTGAGGAAACCGTTGAAGATGGGTACCAGATCAGCTGCTGTCAGCTGGTCCCCCAGGATAACCGCCAACTCGTGTATGGAAAAAGCCAGTGTACGTCGCACCTTCCACTGAGAGCGAGGGAGGAGAGAAAAGGCCATAAAAGGATTATAACACCATCCATGAACAAGGAAGCGGCTTATAAAACATCCTTTTAGCTTCTTTTTCCACATCAAAAAACACAATCAAATTACTAAGAAAAACTTAAACCACTGAAAAGCATCAACCTTACATTAATGCTTATAGAGACATTCAGTGCTGTGAGGAAATAAAGGGTAACAGTGTGAGTGCTGTCACAATCACTGCTCTTTGAAGTACACCAACACTGTTGCGTTAAGGTCTCATTTAAATGTCATTCAGAAACTGACACTCATGAGAGGAACATGTTGAAATCTTAAGCCACCAGACCAACACTGTGGTCGGGGGGAAAAAAAACAAAAAAACCCCACACGTGACACATCCAGAATTTACTTTAGTAGTCTTGAAATGCTTAAGAGTCATCCATCAAAATAAAGTTTAGTCATTGTTTGTGTTCTTGCCTTCTCTTCCTTATAAGAAGCATATAAAAATTCAACACTGCAAGGAGTCTGCTTCCAGTTAGCTGACCACTGACACGGCACAGTAGCTCTCAACGTTTGGCAGAAATCCCAGAGCTCCAAAATCCAAACAACATATTCTTTGTCAGTTAGTGACAGCTTAGTGTGGCAGCTTAGATTTCTCATGCAGTGTTGTTTGTCCTATTAGAGTCAAACAGCAAATCTAATCCCAAAATACCCCTGTGCTTCCTTTCATGTTTGCATTACTACCTGCACATCAGTAGCGAGCGTTTCATATGTATCTTTGAGGCAGTGCCAGTTCTGGCGACCCAGAGTAAGCGCCACCCCCGGCAGGCTGAAGGCACAGTGTTTGGCGATCTCCGTGTCCACCGTCTGGGCGCGGGCCGGGTCCGTCATAGAGAGGTACTGATCCAGCAGCTGCTGCGGGATCACGTTCTGGAAACGAAGATTAATGCGTTTGCACTCAGAGCAGAAGGCAAGCATAGCGACTAATCCATGTCAGTGCTAATCAATACCAACTCTTAGATGGCGATCAATATTTATAGGTTGGAAAATATCATTGCTGACTCACCTGGACCTTAGGCTTATCCTCAGATAATGGACTGTGAGGGGAGTCATCCTTTCCCTCCTCTTCCATACTCTCAATTAGTTCAGACTCCTGAGGAAATGACAAATTCACACAGATACTGTTAATGATCGCAGACGTGCACCAAGTACTGGAGAAAAGTCCAAATCAGTTGTAACTGTTTGTAAAAACAGTTACAATGTAGCTCTGGAGCCTTTGATATCAGACGCAACCATGCTGGAGTTGAGACACTTGATTACGTAAAGTAAAAACAGTTTCTAGTTTAAACTAGAGATGGCACGATACCACTTTTTTATGTCCGATACCGATACCGATATCATAAATTTGGATATCTGCCGATACCGATATGAATCCGATATAGTGTTTTTAATCAACAAAACTGTTTTTTAAATATCTTGCTGCATTTTGTATAAGTTCATACTCAAGTTTAAAACAACAACTACACTAAAGCTATTCTGTTATACCTGTATGCAAAAAAATATTTCATAGTTCAGCAATACTGATCAATCTAATAAACTTAAACCTACACCATCCTCCCTATTCTGGTATTTTAAAGAGTACTTAGCATAAATATTAAGCAACCTAACTAATAGGGTTCCAACTCCCAGCAACAACAAAAATAAATAAATAAAAAATAGGGAACCACCCCTCACCGCCACCTCATGATGCTTAATCGACGTAATCAACCTTAATTTGATGCAGTGTGAAAAAAAATGCACAGAAATCAATTATTTTTCAAGAAATATTAAATAGATTCAACATCTTTCTTCAACAAAATTGCAGACTGCACAGATGGTACCTTCCCAAAGGAAAAAGTACTATAGCTTACTAGGGTATATATAGACTTAATAGTTACTATATACAGTAATGGACTTCTATTCATTTTACATCAAATTAAAACTTTGGGTGTCAGATAATTATTTATTAAAAGCTAGACATTTTAAATGAGAATAAGAAAGAAAAGTATGTCTTTGTGCCCCCTTTTCCCTGTTAATGCCCTATCGGCCCCCCTGGCTAAACTTTGCTAGATCCGCCCCTGCACAGTTACCAGCCGTCAGCTACGTAGAAAAAGATCCTCGAGTAGAAAGTAATATTAAATAATTCTAACAACAGCTGATCAAGCTTAAACGTGCTGCTGTTGTTCAGCCGCTGGTTTCCTCTTTCTGGTGCAAAGTGGGCCAAAAAGCAAACAAGAGAGACGATGGACAGAAAGCCGATCAGCTGATCATTAAGCAGTTTCATGATTGAAGTAGCAGCGAGAAGAGGCAGTCGCTTGTTAAGCTTAACGCAGGAATGCTTTACAAACATTCAGAGATGGACTTACACACTTGCTTTACTTCTCTCGGGGATAACTTTGTCGGGTGAATGCCGTTGCAGCGAAGCTCCACATGCTATCCAGACCACCGACAGGTCCCGCATGCCACAGCCGCTCTATCACGTGATGCATACTGCTCCGACGTGCTAACGTTCTGAGGTGAGTTACGGCGTGTTGCAAGTTTTGTGAGGTGCTTTCGTGATATTTAATGGATCGGATTACATTTTTTATTTTTCTCCGATATCCGATCCAGTAATTTAGGTCAGTATCGGACCGATACGTAATATCGGATCGGTCCATCTCTAGTTTAAACTGAGCCTTTCACAATGTTAATGTATTAAAGGCTTTCTAATTGCCCAGTGCAATCTCTTCCCCTGAGCTGCAAACCTATGACAATGCAAATAACTTGAGCGGTCAGATCCAGCAGACCTCCTAGAGCAACACTGATCATAATAGCAACAACACTGGCACAGCAATATAAAATTATGCAGTGCCTTTTTGCTTTGAGCTACAGCAACCTTAACCTGACTTGCAGCTCCTTAATAAAAATGTGACTCCAAGCTGGGGTTAAGCAGCACAAGAAGCTGGCTGTTCAGTTTGTGTGCTTTCCTAAAAGCGTCACATCTTTACATCCTTCTATTTTTTTTTTCCCCTTCTCTTTCCTCCCATCCAGCCCCCGGCTAGTCGTGGCAGACAACCAACCCTTCCTGAGCCTGGCTCTGCTGGAGGCTTTTTCCTCCTTGCTGCCACCAGACAGCGAGGAGGAAAAAAGCCTCCAGCAACCAAAAGCTTGCTCACAAGGGAATGAATCACTGAGTGTTAGGTTTCTTTCTATAATTTTTATGGAATTATAAGATAAATGTAAAGTAAAGGGAAAAAATGCTGACTTGATTTGGCATTTCATTTCTTTATCAAATCCTGCAGAACAAACATTAACTTCACGAATGAAAACACACAGAAATGCATGTTCTGATCATCAGTGATGCCACAAGACAGAACAGACGTTCTAGCTCACACCTAGTTTTAGTTTAGCTGCAATAATACAGTATGCATTACAGCAGTGTGAAAATACTGTCAACTACTTGCATCAAGAAAAATCCAGTCACATTAGTTGACAGTCACTGGCTCGTACCAGAACGGGGGAGTTGGGAGGAGACTGCTCCTGGTTTTCCAGTGGCTCCGTCTGCGTTTCCTCGTCTCCTTGCTCCTGGATGGGGCACGACTCTGAGGATGTGGGAGTTTTTGACATTTGCTCTTCATCTGTGGATTGCACCTCTATCTCTGACTGAACCTCCAAACTTTCACTCTCTGCAGAAGGGCTGTCTGCACCGTTTTCAGTCTGAAGCTCTGGCTGAAGCTCTGGCTGGGGTTCAGTCGGGCTGTCGTCTGTCGGACTGTCGAGCTGGGCTGCCTTTAGAGCTGCCGACAACACTTGAACTTGAGCTGGAGGCGAATTACATGCAAAGCTGAATCTACATGCCAGTTCAGTACAAAAAGACAAAAGATATTCTACCTGCGTATCCTTACCTTGTACATCGGGGTCATCCATGTGTGGCTGCAAACAGTCCAAAACCTTCTGGATCTGGTCACTGGTAGCTTGTTTGCCATGGTTAGACTTGGAATCATTACAATTCTCTGTAGGTTCCTCTTCTTCTCTCTTTTCCTCCTTCACCTCTTCCATTTTTTGACAACTTAGCATCTCCAGTTCCCCGCTGATGTCAGGTAAAGGAGACCTCCAATAGTGAAAAGAATTAAAGTTCTCGTCTGTCTGTTCCGCCTCTTTCGTGTTCTTAGCGTTGTTTGTAGCTGTCGGGCTATCACTGCTGTTTGTGTGGGTGAAACCGCCATGCATCTCTTCAGGGACTAAGGTGTGGCTGTTATCAAAGTTGTGCAATTCCTCGCTGTCAGCTGTTGACACATGTTCTGGTGACGGCGTGGCGCGCCCGTCCTGGTTTGGAGGCGTGTGGGTGATGGTTCTTTCTGTGTGGCAGCTGCTAATGTCAGAGCAGTTCAGGGAGTTTAGGGAACAGCCGCTGAAATGAGGAAGAGAAAAAGAAATTGTAGATAACTTTGAGTAGATGCATCCATTCAAAGCCAGCAGTTAAATGTTTCCAATTGCCTTTTACCTCCGACAGATTTTTTTTTTAAGTTGTAAACAGAAGCACACTTAAAAGCTTAATGGAAGACTGAGGATTCATGAAGAAGAAGAAAAAAAAATTAAAAATAAAATCTGTTCCATTTATTTGACATTTTTTCCCCTCCACATAAAAACTGATAAAAAAATGAAAACAAAACTGAACCATTCAGGTCACACCCAGTGAATTCAAACCATGATTCACTTAACTGATGATGCAACAGTCAGAAGCGTCTGTGCCAAGACCAAACTCAAACCTCCTGCATGTTGATATAATCACAGCCTGAACTACATTTCACAGCTTACTTAATGGCCTAAACATCCAGACCTAAGAAGACACGACTCGAGACATACGCATTTCGTCTTAAACTATGTGGACATGACAAAAGAAGGACATTTCTGAGTCGCTTAATGCTTCTTGTTATAGCAGTGATAAACAGGTGATCTTACCTGTCAGATGTACATCTGGGGACCTCTAGTAGTGCACCATCCTCTCTGAAGTGAAGGCCTGTGGTGGATGGGTTAGCAAAGGTGGAGATGAAGCGCCCCAGAGACTGGAAAGCCGCCTGTCGTACCTGAAAGTGGAGTATATAGAAATTTGTCTTGCTCACTGTGCCAATCATTCAAATTTTATCAGTCTTAGAAACGATGAGGTAAGAAATACCCTCAAAAGATAGTACACAAACTGCAAGCTCAGAAACAAAAAGACACACACACACACACACACACACACACACACACACACACACACACACACACAGCTTGTGGATCTGGTTAGATGATGATCCTGTGCTGCTACACAGAAGAAAATGTGTATTCTGCTCTTAATTTTAGACACATCAAAAGGACAACACTCTGATTTCAAGTCCCAGTTTGAAAGTCTGACAAGTTGCAAGCATACCGCATCGAAAACAGGGAAGATGGATGTAAGATAGCTCCAAGCAACAACTGCCCTAATTTCATCACACCACTCAGGACGTTACACTTGATTGTTATTGTAATTTTAAACCCCCCCCCCCCCTTTCTTCCATTTCCAAGTTATTTTCCTCTCTGTCCTCGTGTGTTTGTGTATCTTACCCAGCGGGACTGGTCACTGATGAGGCTGATGAACAGGGGGGACAATTTGGAGCGCCGCACCTCTGGAGAGGTGGAATTTGAGACCATCATGAAGCACTCGGCACAGGCTTTCCTGATGCCCCAAAGGCTGTCTGAGCACAGGTCGAAGAACTTGGGCATCTATGTCAAAATAAAGTCACATCAGTACAGCCTGAAATCCTAAACCATGAAGAAACTACTGACGTGCAAACGTTACATAACATCATTCTGATTACACAACAGTTTAACACAACATAAGGCACTTTATGCGAATTCATAAGGCACATCTAAAGAAAAGCTTCAAGGACACAGTACTAAACTTTCATCTTGCATAATAGCATAAAATTACACACCGAATCTGTGAGAAAAACAGTATTGGGCATCTTACCAGCAGTTTTTCTGTGGCCTCCTGGCCTACAATTGAACAAAATTCTCCAAAATTGGCTGCACACACCTGCAATACAAAAATGATACCAATGTCTCTGTGTTAAGAGTAAAACTGTAAAAAAAATTATGTTCCTGAATGAATAAGAAGGTACCAAGAAACAGCATCTTAAAAAGAGTTGAGTCCCAATATCACAAATAGGAACCTGTACTGATTTGTATGATTCATTCAGAGTGCAGCCTTGAGGCAGATTGCTTTATAAAATGCTTTTTATACAAGTTTCTATAACAAGCTATCTGCCAAGTTAAACTACCTTTACGGCTCCTAAATCATGTTCCCCAACTGGCACCAGTTACGCCAGCCAATTAAAATTCCACACTGAATACACAACAGCGCAGTGTAAGCTAAGTTACCGCACATAAACGAATTAAAGTTAGCTCAATGAGTGATTGGATTTACACTAATGGAACAGCAGAACCACAATTAAATTTTTACTGTCAAAGTTGTGACTTCAGTCTAAACATCTGCTTTAAGTCATCTCTGAGTTTTAAAGATACCTTCGGGTTGAGCTCGTTACCTTGCGCACTTGGAAGAGTCTGGCATCACTGCACAGTTCACAGAAACGTGGCAGCAACAAGTGCTCCACTGTGTCTTTGCTCAACATGGTGACAACTTTACACATGATCTGTACAGAGAAGAACAAGAACAGAGTTTAGTGCCATCACAAGCTCAGCGATGGTTCATTTTATTAACCTTGAACCACGAAATTAACAGAAAACCTCAGAGAAATAAGATGTGCACTGAGGTTGAAAAGGAACAAAAATAAATAAAAATTGGGGTATTAAGAGTAAATAGTAAAGGAAGGGGTTTGTGTTTATATGATAAAAGGTTTCAGGGGGATGAATCTGGTTTAAAAAAAAAAAAAAAAGGAAAAAAAATACTGATTTGAGTTAAGTAAATTAGTGAATCGCTTATGTGCTAAAAGTGCCACTAATAAAAGAAAATCCACTTAACTTTGGTACCTTTAGATTAAATTCTGCTGTACAATGATATTGCTGTCCTTATTTACTCATTTTAAACTATTTAGAAACTTGTCCCAGAACGTAATAAAAAGACACCACTGAAGGTTTCTACCTGGGCAGAACTTCACAGGTTTAACTGCTAAGTCACACCTACACCTGTAGCCTAAATCCAGTTTAGTGTTTTTATTCTGCCGTACTACATCAAGCCCAATCTCCAGCTACAATACTAAAACATTCCTCTGGTGTGCTCCACGTATCACAATTTTTATATTTTACTATTCTTGATTATAACCACACAAAACAGGGTTCAACTTGAATTTGAGTTAAACAGAGGTTATTTTACATAAAAGTTTACGTAGTTTAACTCCCCGCTTTTCTCCTGGTGATCCCCGCCCCGCAGTTTGAGAACCACTACAACATTTCTTTAAACATTTTTCGTTAAAATACAGTGTTGTCTTACAGCCACTGCCTCAATTTTGTAGTCATCGTCACTGCTCGGTTCTGTGAGGTCGAGTAGAACTGGACAAACTTTGGTCTCCATGTCAGCTTTAGAGATGAGGCCCTGCTCCAGCAGGACGAGCAGTGCTGCCTGACTCGTCTTCCGCACCTTAAAAATACGAGGGTCAGAGGTTAAAAACAAAACAAGGCAAACGAACAATACCAATTCATATGAATTTCTGCAATTACCTTATTTTTGTTTTCTTTAGGTCTACAGACTTACCTGGTTATTCGGATCAGTGAGATACCGGACAACAATTGGTACCAAGTATCTCGAGAAAGCAGCAGGGAAGTTGGGCCGACTCTCATGCAAAAACATGGCGATGTTAGGAATCTGCTCCATCAGCTCAGCTCGGACTGTGGGCTCTTAGTTACACAAATTGCAATATTTCATTAATGCACCACATTAAAAAAATAAAATAGAATAAACTGCAACCACAGTTACATACTGTGAAAACGAAAATACAGCTACCTCCATCTTCCGACATTCTCGCAACGGTCTCCATGACACTAATAAAGTCATTTTCATTGTCACTGAACTCTCGAAGCACATCAAGCAGGCCACGAGCCACGATTTGCCTAGAAAGCAATGGGAGCTTCAAGTTAGTGGACTGCCTGCCAATACCTACAAGTTTCAAAAGCACACAGCGTGACACACCGCACTGACAGAGCTGTCAAGTGCATTACACACACGTGCATTAGGAAATGACAGCAGAGCTTTAACCCTGCAAAGCTGAGCATGAAAAGCATAAAGACTGGAATGTAAGGCGTTCGTGTAGAGACACGAGCAGCTTTTGAGGTTGGAGACACCTCTGATTATTCTGCTTTGTTTTTTTACCCACCTAACCTGTGTCAGACTAAATACCTCCCCTTTATACACTGATAACAGAAAAACAGACCTTAAACTAAATATCCTTTAAACATATAACAGAGAGGGATTACAATAATCACTCTAAAGCCAGACAGCCAGCCTCCACACAGGGCTCTATGTTAAGTCTTTAGGTCTTCCTTCACAGTACGGGTTTTAAATATAAATAAAAAAAAAAAAAAACCATAACAAAAGACTTAGAGATGATTTCTGAATGAAGGCCAGAAAACAAAAGGCTATCTCAGTGCAACCTTATGTTGCCACAAGTCTTTTAAGCAACTATTTCCCAACTGAGAAAAGTTGATGAAAAGTTTGTCTCAATATCTGGCTACATTTCCTCAAAGATTTTTATACAAGAAGTGACTTTTAACAGATGTTTCCTCGCTCCCCTCCATTGATTTGCACATGTTTCCTTAATGATAAGACCTTCAAAATTTGTTGTAATGCTACTGGCACACATTCTTATCCGACATGTCTACAGTTTTGCTGCTAAGTTTGGATGACCAGGCACCTGTTCACATTAGCCATCAAAACCCAACAAAGTCAATTCATCCTTCTTTAAGTTAGGAAAAAACAAAAGAAATTTTACTTTATATCAAATACGGGAAATAAGATACTTTTGTAATTTTGATACAACTACCACACACAAGCTTTAAGGGAGAAAATTTACATGGGCTTCTTGTGGATGGACGGACAGCTCAGAAGAGAAAACATACATTACTGTGAAGATAGCTTTGGACAGACATTTTGGAAACAGTAGCTAAACTGAAGCATTTTAGTATACATACAATTACTTCCAAAGTTCCTTATAGCAACCACTGGTTTAAAATAATTTCAGTGAGCTTCAAATACCAAAGACAGCTCTAGTAGCTGTAGAATATTGTAGTAAAGTGAGATCTGAGTTGTGGTCAAAGCCAGCAGGTCAGTTTTCAGTCATAAAATATTTATTGCTCAGTGTTTACATTGCAGAATATGGTGTGTCAACCTATCCACAAATTTTCTTTGCTTTTGCAGACTAATGCATGACCAGCTTGACCACGGGCCTCTGCTTACCTGTTGAAGACATTCTCGCTGAAAGCATATTTCTCTAGCCTCCCGAGAGGAGTAAGGTTATCTTGTCCTGCATCCAGGAAGGCTGTGATGCGGATACCGTCGCACTCTGTACCATAGTCATCAAATCCAACTGTGGGAACAAAATAAAGATGATTTTAGATATACATATTGGATGACTATTCAAACGACTTCAAATACTAAGGGCCTAAATGATGGCCAACGGGTAAAACAGTAGTGAGAGTGCCAGGCTAAAGGTACTGAGTCAACTAGCTTTAAATATATAGATCTTTTTTAAAGTATTTCCATCTAGGACCCTGCTGAACAAAGCTCCTGTTATATGAAATTAAATAATTCTACAATAGTATGCTATTTTTAGTGCAGTGTTATTGGCATACTTACAATCATCCAGATCATCATGGCCATCTTCAAAGTATAAAGATAGACCTGCAATAACAAGGCAGTTAGTGAGGTAGGGATCCATGGCGGAAGAACCATCTCTTATTGACACCCTGGTCTGAATGGCACATTTAGAGTAAGTCAATTACTAAGAGGGGGCAAAGTCTCCTAGCAATAAATCACAGTAGTCTCCCTAATGTCATCACTTGGTGAAAGCGAAACTTGATGCATTCAAGTGATATTGTCACTGCTATGGCCTGGAGGAGAAGCAAATCCAATCAATACTTATCACAGTGATTAGCGAAGGGAGCTGAGATTAGACTCCAGTTAAAAAACAGGTACCAAACTGTGCAATTCATCAGAATAGCATCCATTCATCAGTGTTGGCAAAAAACAATGACCACAAACTGGCAATTGGGGCTTTCACACATTTTAATCTTGTGCAAGCCTTTTAAAAAAAAACAAAAAAAAAAAAAACAACAACTTTATTCTACACCATGGTCAAGCAGATACAGAGGTAATAATAAAAAAAAAAAAAAGCTGGTTTAACAGTGAAAACCTGTCTAGGCCTACTTTGATCTCCTAACACATTAAATTGAACAGAATCAATTAAAGAAACAAACTGATTGATATCCACCCCCAATTTTCTTGATCAAGAATAATTTAGAATTTCATTTTTTGCTTCATTGCACAGTTTTCTTTAGTTAATAAGCTGCAATGGTCAAGTGCACATCCATAAAAGCACAGATGAAAAATGCAGGTTATTATCATGATGTGAGATCATTCAATTGTCAGTTTGGTGCTATTTAAACTGCACTCTATTAAATGCTAACAATTTTTCTAACAACCCTCGCTGATGAAAATGGATTTAACAATCATCTATTACAATGCATATAGCATAATATGAAGGCCTTCATCCTCCAAACTGCACAGACAGTTTGATTGTCTTAAACTGAACATTAAATCCTTAATTATGACAAAATGTATAAGGTTGTATCGGACTGCATTCTTTTTTGCTTGGTGTACCTAATACAATAAATCCAACCCTCATTGTGCATTCAATTGCAGCCAACCACAGCACTTAACACACTTTTTGTTTTTCTTTCATCTTGCAAAAAGACATAACACGGTCATGATTAATGATTGCAGAATTACTTGATAGGAAATTCAATTTCCAGGTTAAACTTTACCCTATCACTCCATTCAAGCTGATATTTTAGTTATTTGTTTTTATTTTTTTCCACTGGCTCAATATCAGAGATTTCAAGCAACTCATATTGAATAATGCCAAACATCTTGAATATGGCCAGATTGGCATGTCACCCGTCTCATATGCGTCATACTGGTCTGCACTTGTATTGTCTGATATGTGCCGATATAAAAACACGGCTCAATAATTCAGAATTGCTGTCATAACAGTTTCTCCAGCACAGCAGCTACGCTGTTGGCTCAGCTCAGCACTTTCCGCATCACATGCAGCAGAGTCAAAAGATGTAGTCATGATAAACTGCCAAGTAGTTTGCAAAATGCAATGTAAAAACTGTATTTTTGAGATATATATATATATATCTCAAAATATGATGAAAAAATATATATATTCATCATGGGTCGCCACAGCACGCCATCTGTCTTCATCTCACACTATCTCTAACCAGTCTCCTTTCACATCAACCATACATGTCCTCCTTCACTACATCCATGTAGCTTGTCTGTGGTCTCCCCCCCCCTGCCTCGCAGATCCATCTTTAACTTCGTTTATCTAGCATATTCACCATCCCCTCCTCTGCATGTCCAAACCATTAGAGTCTTGCCTCAATGCCTCTCCAAACTGCAAGACCTGAGCTGATCAATTCAATTCAGTTTAATTTATATATTCGTTCCTTAACATATATAAATATCTTCGAATCTTATTTATTTTTTATTCTTATATATAGCTCAGCACTTTCCGCATCACATGCAGCAGAGTGTGTGTATGTATGTATATATATGTGTGTGTATGTATGTATATATATGTGTGTGTATGTATGTATATATATGTGTGTGTGTATGTATGTATTTATATGTGTATATGTATATGTATATATATATATATTAAATAATATTTATTTATTTTTTGATAAAAGTCGAATTATATTTTGGTTGGGATTTATTCGTTTAATAGTAGTAAGTGCCAAATCCATAAAAATAATCCAGATGGCTTAAAATTATATTTACAGCCCTACGCTAAATGCATTTAAAGTTCTTTTCCCCCTATTTACAAATTAGCACATTTTCAAAAACAAATGTGTGAGTAATCATGTTATCTAGCACAAGAAGACCTTCTCACTGTTTATTTTCAATACCACCCAGCCCTCGATATAGGACAATAGCAGATGGGGGGTTTGTAGTCAACGGAAGAGACCAGAAATAAGTCCCATGAGGAGAAGCCAGTGTTTACAGCTGGGCAAGCAAGGGAATGTGCTCTAAATATAATACAGTGCCTACCTCGAAATCACACATTAAACGAGGCGTTTCAGGAGTAGAATAATCAACGGCATAATATATATAACAACACCCCAAAAAACCACGCTGGCACAGAACAACATCGCGCCTTTGTTGTGATGTAAAACAGGATTTGGTCAGCTTATGGCTGATCATGACTTTAGCAACTCGGCTAACGTTGGCTAGGTCAACTCGCTCGCGTTTGCTATGATAACAGATCGATAATAAACACGGGTCATAGTATTCTCCCATCGAGGTCTGAAGAGACTAAAAAAGTAATCTACATGCAATGAGCAAATATATGATTCAGTGTAGTCCCAAAGTCACCCATTTCGATACCCCGTAAGGAGCTTTCGTTAGCTTAGCCTGCTAGATGCTGCTAAGTTTGCTAACATGGCTTGTCTAGCCCTTTCGCTTGACTTCTCTCCCACTTCGTCCTGCAGTACTACACAGGAAGTGGAGCAGAAGCCGTTATTTGACTACTAAAAACCTCAACTGCCCGAAAACACTTTACAAATGCCAGCACAGCGCCAAAATATTAAAGAAAACTCGGGTTAAAAAGTGCCATTACCTGCCATCTTGAGCGTCGGCTCGGCTCTGCGGGCTGCCGTCCCGTGTGGGCTGTCACCGCCGCACAGCTGTCACTCAAACACTGAGGCAAACTACTTCCTGAAAGTACTTCCTGATGCTGCTTTTCACTGGTTAATTACGTATTAAACAACTATATCGAAAATCGTTACTCATCTCGGGCAAAAACTCGACATAAGTGAGATTAAAATAGCGCCTGTGGGGAGGGCTTTGTGTATCTCCAAAAGAAAAAAAAAGGAGAAAGGAAGAAAAAAAAAGCCGAAGCAGTCACGTGATCGCATGCCGTAGTTCAAGATGGAGACTCGGCGATGTGGTGGAGGTAGCTGTTTACAATAATCACAACATGGCAAATACGACGACCTGCAGGACGTTTTAACGTTTACAGCGAGAGTTGTTACCCAACCTAAGATGTGCGTATGCCAGCTTCAGAACACGATGTTGTAAAGTTGTTTGTAAACAAAGACCACCTGAAGAATATTCAAGATTTAAAAAAAAAAAGGCAAGCAGAGGAGAAAACAGCCAATGATCTTCATCGCAAATTCGATGTGAGAGAGGAGATCGATATGGCTCTGAGAGAGTTAAAAGTCTGCCTCTTGGGGGTGAGTAAGCATCGATATTTTTCAATCTGATTGTACATATGCACACTTTAACTGGAGCATTAATGGAGCTGTCCTGCTCTACTTCCACATAGCACATACCTATACTTCTCTAATGGACCGTAGTGAAAATTTCTGATATAGTGAGTGGCAATACAACCTCAAAATAAATAGATCTGCGCCAGTGACAACACTCATGCTTATCTACATTGAATTACACTCAGTAGCTGCACAAGGCATCAATCACTTGATCAACGTCCCATTCAAATTGTATTATCCACTGCTGGAGGAACATCCTCACATCTTCTCTTCTCTGTCATCCACTTACAGGATTACATCAGCGTTGACAATATTAGTCAAGCTATTAGTGTCACTATTACTCAAATTAGAAAATAGTCAGCCTGCTGCTATTTTAAGAATAGATCAGGTAAATCTCAATCATTAGTGTCAATGTAAATTTAATATCTTTAAGTTCTGATCTCTTTTGGACAAAAACAAGACATTTGGCGTTGTCACATTGCTCTCTAGGAAACTATGCGTACATTCATACTCTAAAGTTGTGATAACCTGCAAAATCTCACTATTAACCCCTACAGCGGCTCTATTTTGATAGCACGAAGACTTTGCTGGTTTGTATTTAGCGACGTCCTTTGCGTGGTGTGGTCACCTCTACCCTGTCACTGACGGTAATTTCTAACAGGAAACGTCATTCATAGGCCATGAGGGCTCTCTGAATGGAATGACCAGCATGAAAACAATGTCTGCTATGACACTGACAGTCATCTTTCAAATCACATTTTGTGCTGACTTGTCAGACAGGCCTTCCACCACCATCACTGAACAGCTTACATAAAAGTGGCTTGGGCACCTTTAGTAGAGTTTCCGTGACTCAAATCTATGGTGCGGTGAAGCTGCACTGCTGGTTTATTCGGCAGCTTACCAAAACTTTTTGTGTTGATTTTTTTTTTGTCCCTTCATTTCAACACACATCTGTAGCTATGTTAGACAGCATTACTAGTCATTCCTGCAGTATTTATTTACAAATGAGGCTCATTAACTTAATGCATATTTTAATTGGAAATAAAGACACAACAAAACAGGATGATTAGCCATTCATTTTCTGTAGATCTACTAATAAGATTAAGATAGCATAGAGACAATAAGCTAGTTCATTAACTAGCAGACTGGAATTATGACAACCCTGATTATGCATCATTTTGGTCATCTTTAAGATAATTAAATTAGTTAAAACAAGATATGTTACTGAATAAATGGTTAACTGATGGACTACACAAACAAAACATCCATGTCTAGACTGCTACAGCAGCAGCATAAACCACCATTGTCTGTGGGCGTATCTCGTGATAACACTCAGGTCAGACTTGTCCTCTTCTTTTTCTCCTAATGTAAACAATGTAAACCCTTTTCCCTCTTCCATAAGTAATTTACAGATTTATACCAGCAGTGGCAGGAAGGAAGCGGATCCCATAAAAATGTTTTAATGTCCAGGCATATTGCCAAAGATTGTTCTCATATTCTTCAAGTACCATGTTTAGTAAGCATGATCTTTATTTTGTCTGTGCAGGATACTGGAGTTGGAAAGTCGAGTATTGTTTGGAGATTTGTGGAGGACAGCTTTGACCCAAACATTAATCCAACTATTGGGTATGTTTTGCTGCCTTCCACTTCCACAGAAGTTTTATTTTTTCCATCTCCCTCATTTGTTGTAGTTTTACAGGTTGTTATGATGCCCATTAGAGTTATCAGTTAACCACTGGCAACGAAATGGGCATGAAAATCACTTCTTAAATAACTCGTTTGCTCCAGATTTCAAAATATCTGGACTTTCTTGTGTTCTTTGTCTGTGGCTAAACTAAGTAACTTTGGTGTCAAAGACTTTTTCATCCAACAAATTTTTGAAGGTATTATGAACAATATTTGTTTTCTGACATTTTCGAACAAGGAACTAAGAAAACAGCTTTACAACTGAACTGTGCAGTTTTGACATTTAGCCTTTCATAGGGGGCGATCGTGGCTCAAGAGTTGGCAGTTTGTCTTGTAATCGGAAGGTTGCCGGTTCGAGCCCCGGTTTGGACAGTCTCGGGCGTTGTGTCCTTGGGCAAGACACTTCACCCGTTGCCTACTGGTGGTGGTCAGAAGGCCCAGTGGCGCCAGTGTCCGGCGGCCTCGCCTCTGTCAGTGCGCCCCAGGGCAGCTGTGGCTACAATGTAGCTGCCATCACCAATGTGTGAATGTGTGTGTGAATGGGTGGATGACTGAACGTGTAAAGTGCTTTGGGGTCCTTAGGGACTATGTAAAGCGCTATACAAATACAGGCCATTTACCATTTCATAGGATGAATAAATGAGTTTTTCTATGTTATAACATTGTACAAAATAAAATCAAATTTTTCTTGCTTGAGCTCAAGTAACATAAACATCTTTAAAACTCAAGTTTGATATGTGGTGGCAGGAATTTTTAGTATTTTTTTTTTAAACTTTTTTGTCAGCATACTTTTTAACAGGAGAAGAAATAATAAATACTAGATACAAACAGCTGCTCCACACACTTATTTTTGGCACTTTGAAATATCTGATGATTATTGGCAAACGGGTTGTTATTGAAATTTGTTCTTGAAATCTCCAGTTTTGTAATTGAGACCAAATGTTAGTTTTGCTGTCAGACTTAAAGAATCCAGTACTGAGCTGGCTCAGATTGATGTGATGTAAATCAGCTTTTTATTGCTAGAATACAGTTTAATGGTAAACAGGAAAAAAATCTGCAAGTGTTTATTTTTCAAATCTGCAATGTGTCATGTTTCTCTTCACCAGGGCATCCTTCATGACCAAAACAGTGCAATACCAAAATGAGCTGCACAAATTCCTGATCTGGGACACGGCAGGACAGGAGCGGGTTAGTATTATGTGCCGAGGTATTAATCGTAACAGCTTCAGAGAATAGTTTTTATATTACCATCAACCTGTTTGTAGTATTGAACGGTCTACTTATCCCCACCGTGTTCTTTGAAAGGATGTGAAAGAATTGCCCACACGTACATGCATCATTACTTAAACCAACCATAAGAAAACTGAATACTGCAGTTAGTCATAACTTCTGATAGGGGGCAATATTTACCTTACTATAGGTAGAATTCTTCCAGTTCACTGATAATCAACTTCTTTTAGTACTCTTGTTCTAAGAGTTCCTTTTCCAAATTTTAATTTGGTGAGTGAAGTCACATGAAAAAGGTTACATTTTTT